TCGGTACAAGGTCAAGAACAGAAAACAAACCGCCCCGAGATTTTTTCTTTAGGGGGTAGAAGGTGGGTCAACTGGAGGGGCACCAGCTAAGCTGGTGGAGCAGGGCTGGGATTGAGGGGCACCCACAGGTGGTGGGGAGCAAGGCTGGGCCTCATGGAACATTTTGATTGGCTGCAGTTGAGATGGTAGGGGGGGAAGAGCAGTTTGTGACAGGAAGTGAAGCTGCGTCCTGGACCATCCCCATTCCTCAGCATCCCAGGCCATTGTCTCAACACACAGATCAGCTGAGTGGGGTCCTGGTGCCTGGCCCGTGTCACCGCCACTGCCCCGCTGTGGGGCAGGAGTTCTCGCTGCATCCCAGCCCCCCACGCTGCAGCCAGCACCCCTTCCTCTGATTTTGAAATCAGGCTTTGCAGTTCCTACGCGTCCCCAGCAGCTGAAGGCAGAGCCTTTCCCATTCCCCCAGCCCTGGGGCTACATGCCCATGGCTCCTTGTAGCCTTCCCCGGCCCTGCGGCCAGCCCCGCCTGGCTCCAGCCCGCCCCAGGAGACAGACACCCTGTCCTGTGCTCAGCTTCCATCTCTTTATTGTTTCCATATGAAAAATAGGACCGTCTGCTCCCCCCAGTGCCCCCGCACGGCCCCGCAGCCTGGTATGGGAGCCCGGCTCTCCTCAACACCCCACATCTCCTCCCTTCCGCTCCAAACTGCCCCCAAAAATTTCCTTCCCATGGCTGCCCAGCTCCGCCCCGAAGCAGTGAAGATGCACGCCCCCTTGGGGAGCAGGCAAGTGCCCCTGGCAGCGGGTCTGGGACCCCTACAGCACTGGGCAGTTATACTGGTACAACCGGGCTTATAGTGGCTGTAGGGGCAGACTGGTGTAACGGCCCTTCGTATTGGATTAAGTGCCTCTGTGCCAGGGGCTGCACTGGGATAACTCTAACAGGGTGAAAGTCACCCCAGCGCTGACACAGTTTACCGGGACAAGCTCTGGGTCCAGCTCCGCTCGGGAAGTCAGAGAGATCCCGCCACACTGCAGGGTAACGGGGACCAGACACGGGCTCCGGAAAGCTCCCCCCTGCCCCCAACACAGAAAGGTCCTCTCCCGCCAGGACTCCAGCCTCCACCCGGGCTAGAGAGTGATGGTCGGTGCCGTGGAGGGCTCGGTGCTTGGCTGCAGGGGAGGCGCAAGGCGTTTATGGGAGGAAGAGCAGGGTGTGGAGCGAGATGCTGTGGGGTGCGTGTCACAGACGGACACGGACACAGGGGAATGTGGGGGTGTGTTTCAGATGGCAGCCCCCTGAGACAGCCAGCCCTCCTGCCCTGGGACCGGATAGGAGCCCGTGCTCCCTAGACGGGACAGGACCGGTGCCCATTCCCCGCCCCCCTGAGCTAGCCAATCCCCCACCTTGGGGCCGGATGGGAGCTGGCACCCTCTAGAGGGGAAAGGCCCCATGTCCTGCTCCATCCAATCCGCTCAGTTCCGTCAATGTCCTTCCAGTCCCATTCTAGCTCGACTTCCTGCCAGGTGGCGCCTGCTGTCCCAGCTCCCAGAGCTGATTGGAGTGGGCTTGGTGGCAGAAGAGGGGGCATCCTGCTGCAGTCCCAGCTCTCCCCACTGGGGCTGGAGGGGGCGCTAGAGCTCCTGGGGCGGCACCAGAGCCCTCAGGCCGCGGCGTGGGGCGCTAGAGCTCGCCACGGGCATGCCGGATGTAGTGTTCGTGCAGGCCGGCCTCCTGGGTGAAGCTCTCGCCGCACTCCGTGCAGGAGTAGGGGCGGGAGGGCAGCAGCTCCAGGGGGCGCTGGTGGGAGGCCTGGTGGCGGCGCAGGTTGGAGAGTTGGCGGAAGCTCTTGCCGCAGTCGGGGCACTGGTGGGGCAGGCTGCGGCCAGCAGCGTGGCCCAGCCGGTGGCGCTGGTAGTTGGCCAGCTGGCCGAAGCGGCGGCCGCAGTCAGAGCACTCGAAGGCGGGGCGCAGGCAGTCGGGGCAGTCGGGGGGCGGGGCGGGGGCGTGCCCACGCTGGTGGCAGATGAGGGCGCGGGAACTCTCGAAGGGCTTGCTGCAGATGAAGCAGACGAAGAGGGCGTCGCGCAGATTCTCCTGCACAAAGTCCTCGGGGTGCTCCCGCTTCATGTGCCGCTCCTTGAACTTCTCGTCCGGGAAGGTGATCAGGCAGTGGAAGCACTGGTTGGAACCCAGGCGATCTGGGGGGGGCGAGGGAGAGCTCAAGGCTCCAGCCTTGGCTGACCCCCACCCCCAACTCCATGCCCAGCCTGGGCTCCCCACGCCACCCGCCTCCCCCCGCTGCCGGGATCCCTAACTCCTTCTGAGCTGCATACCCCGGTGGTGGGGAGGGGGAACGGGGCTGCCCTCCCCGAGGGAAGGGCCGGGAGTCCTGGCATTGCAGGGATCTGGAAGGCAGGATGCAGTTCCCCATGGGAAGGGCCGGGAGCCCCAGTGCTATGGCGTTTAAAGCCCTAGAGAACAGACACAGGAAATGGCAGTGACCACCTCCGGTACTTACAGACAGGGCTGTTGCTGGAAGAGGCCTTGACCTTCCCCTCGGGGCTGGGCCGGGCGGGTTCATCCTCGATGCAGATCGGCTCCAGGTCGGAGCTGGGGCACCGTGTCCGGGCCGGGGTAGCCTCCTGCTTGGCAGGGAGCGCAGGCCGCGCTGGGATCTCCTGCGGGAGCGGTTCAGCCAGGGGCTGCTTCTCGGCTGTGACTTCAGACATCTTTTCTCTGCGAGGGGAGGGGCGAGTTGTGTGAGAGCACACCCTCCCGCCAGATCAGCTCCACGAGCCCAGCTAGCCCCATATCCTGTCCCCCCCGGGCTCAGACCCACCTAGGCCCCTATCCAGCCCCTCCCTGCTGCCCCAGATCAGCTTGGTATCCCCTTCTTTGGATTAGCCCCATGTTTCTTTCTTTCACTCTAGGTTTCTTTGCCCCACACCATGAAACACCTCAGCTTCCATAGGGCCCCTCACTGCAGTGTCTCAGCCCTCACTCCGCCCACCCCATTTCCTCCCATCGCTCCCCCCAAGGAGCCCCCTCCTGTCCAACCCTCTCTCTCTCCATGCAACCCCCAGCTGTCCCCCCCATGTGGGCCAAAAGCTCCCCACACGAAACCATTACTGCCTGAGGACTCCTCCCCCCAGGCCCACCCTCCCCATGGAGGCCCTCCCATTTTCCCCCCCCCTACAGATCCTTCCCCCTCCCCTCCCCTTGAGCCCCCCAAACTCTCCTCAACTCTTCCCATGGACCCCTCCTCTCCCCCCTCCCAGGGAGTCCTCGTCATCTAAATCCTCATGGAGCCCCCAACCCCTCCCCCCACAACACAAAGCTACCTCTCCCCATGGCCCCTTTCCCCCCGACCCTCATATGCAGCCTCCCAACCCCCCCCAAGCCAGATCCCCATGGGACCCCCTCCCCC